AAAAGGATTTTGGCCTTGAAAATGTTTTAAAGAAAGGGATTGATTTGTGAAAGAAAATGCTTTGAAAACCATGGCTTGTTTAGTCATGGAACCTCATGGCTTGTCCAGTCATGGGGCCCGCGACTTGAGTAGTTCGTGGGGTCGTATTAACGATTTCAAAATGTTAATGAATGATTTCTTAAGCAAAGAGATCTTGTGAACTGGTAATAGAGTCTATTGCTGTAAGCCTAGACAGGATGCGGAGAGTGCATCCTCGGGGGCAGAACCCGAAACTCGGTCCGGGTAGGCGAGGCACTTGGTTAGGTAAGTAATTTGTACTAATTACTTGATGAAGCCTGTAAAATGGTTATTTACGGTTATATTTCCTTTGAGAAAAAGGATGTGAGGTTCCGACTGTTCTGTCGGGACTGAATGTCTTATTTTATTTATTTATTTATTTATGTATTCCCTCGTACATTTCTTATAACGTTTATTTTAAATTATATCCTACTGGGCCTTTCACTCACGTTTTATGTTTTAAATGTACTAAACCCCTCCCAGGAGATTCTAGGAGCGGTGCACAGTAGCTGGATATTTGCTACGGAGCAGCTGAGTTGTGCTGCTGTTGGAATCAAGAGAGGATCGTGGACATCCTCTTGGACAAATGTAAGGAATTTGAGAAAATTCTGTAAACTTATATAATATTTGGATTTACTAGACTGTGGTTGATGTCTGTTGTAATGATTAATTACATGTTCATGTATGTCCTGTGGGGTGGAGCCCTGTGTGTCAGAGGCTCTGGGATTCTGTAATTTATTTATATTTTAATGCAGTTAAGTGTGGGGCCCGGTCTGGGAATCTGCTTTATTAATCCCTAATCGAGCTCCACGTCACCCACCCCGTTTAGGGGGCGTGACAGATACTCATACCGGATTTTCACAAATCTTGCCAGAAAATTGCATTCCTCACCGGATTTTGTACGGAACTCGCCGATTTTGGAGGAGAGAGAAGGCCGGCTGGGGTTGAGGGGAGAGAAAACTCAAAGACTCCATTTTTACTACAAGTAAGCATCCTTTCCTCTTCCTTTTGCTATTATGGTTGATGATGATGACAGTGGCTTGTAAAATATGTGATTTTTGCTTGATTTTGGCTCTCCCTTGGTCGGTTTTACACTTGTTTGGCAAGAGAGAAAAATTTTCTCTTTCATAGTTGCTTTAGGGCATGGACGAATCCTTGTCAGGTTTGGAGCAGAAAAACTTCTCATTTAGCGTCAAAGAGAAAGGTTTCACAACTTAAATTTCAAACTTTCGAATCTTCAAAGTTGAGAAAAGGATTTTTAAGACTCTTAAAAGGCAAACAGAGAATTTTAAAATTGGATTCTCCATCACTCATTCATTCTTTCGTCTAATTATTTTAAAATTTTTTAAACGGGACTTAAAATCGGATCAAATTAAGAAATAAATGGGTCCATTTGATTACCGGACTCATCAAATTACGGTCCACTCGAGTTCTCTGAACGTGAATTGAATTCACAAATCGAATCCAATCTCATTGAGCCTGACCCTTGTACAGACATGACACAAAAAACAGCCATCAACACTGATTTAATAATAATACAAATATAACAATTTGATATCTTTACGAGAAAAATATATGATTTGTTATGATTTTATACATGCTTATTATTTATATTATTTTAAAGTGTCATTGTGAATTTTTTTTATCAATTAAATAATAATTATTTATATTTTAATAGAGTGAGATAAATAATATTTTTCACAGTTTTCGCCAAGAGGTGGATTTGGGCAGGTTTCGTTGACGGGCTTCCCCGTCTTTGCTCTCTCAACAAATGGAGTTGGATCGGGCCTAACAAGTTTGACGGTAGTCTTGTATCGCGACTCTGGTGAATGCAATTGCACCAATATATCAAGTTGCATTAATATTAGCTTTTGGGTATTTTAACTTTGAAAGTATTATTCCTCCCTTCTAAAGTGCTAATCCTCAAGCAGTCACCTTTTTCTTTTCTTTTAAAAAAGTTCTTGCAGTTTCTCATTTTTCTTATTGCTAGTAATCACAAAATAAAAGGATCAAATGCATTTGAATATTTGGTTTTTTGGTTCTAATAGTTTTATCATTTTCCCTGTGTTACAACATTGCTAGTTATTACAAAACTTGAAAGGTTCAAATAGATTTGAAAATTCTGTGAGTTGTGAAAACATTGCTAGTTTCTTATTTTCCTCCATGTTTACCTAATTAATACGGGACCTTCTCTCCGGTACATTAACATATTGGTAGGTTAAGTTTTTTAGTTTGTTGAATCTGTATAAAATCACGTAAAAGTTAAAAAAATATGCAGATCTAACGGTTAGAAAAGCCTAACATATCAGTACACCAGGCGTACTAGAGAATCTCTCAATTAACATTGTTGGTCATTGAAAAATCTCAGATCAAATGGATTTAGAGGCACTTTTATGCAAGACGGGGTCCATATTCCCAGAATAGAGAATTTAATGCTTTTCAGAGATGCTTAATTTTCCCCTTCGTAAATTTGCAAAATCCACTTTTTTTGAATGGGGTTAGGTTTATGGAAGCAAATATAACCTTACGGTAATTTCACATCTCACTCCGCTGTATAGTGAAGAGTTCAAATCCCTAAATCTCATGTTTAAAAAAAAAAAAAAAAAAAAAAAACAGAGAGAATTGGATTAGGATTAGATTGGGAGATTATTAGTACCAATTGTAGCGTTCCTAATTCAAAAATTACAGATTGGGTTGGAGTTTTCACAATTTGAAGATCCATACTAACCCCTAATCCTTAAACGACCCCTAAGAAAGGCACAATGAGAGACTTTTTGAGTTCCAAATTCTTTTCTGCTGAAATAGAAGTGCCTTATCGTTACTGCTTAGTGTTAATTTTCCAATTTTGATTGACGTTGCCGGGATGATCGCAAGTCACCTTCATTCCATGACTACCACAATTGCTTTTTGATGTTCGAAACAAAAATAGTAATGTTGATATTATCAAGACAAAAAAAAAAAAGAGGAGGAAAAGTAATGTCGATCTCCATAGGCAAAATTAGTTTGGAATTCAAGCAGGAGTTCCACTTATTACAATCGGGTGGTCGGTTCTTTGTAAAAATAGAAAAAGATAAAAAAGGTCATTTTCGTCCATTTGGCGAAGGTCAAAAGGTCATTTCGTCCATTTAGCCAATTTGGATAGTCGTTTTAACAAATTTCATGACTAGTAATCAATAGGCTACCACAATCTTTTATTTTTATTTTTATTTAAAACAAAAAAGAAACATAATAATATAGGCTAAGCCGAATCTAACCTGGAAAAGACCAATCACCCTCGTACAAAAAAGTAATGGCATTAAAAGCTAAATTGCAAATTTCGCTATATAATTTACAGATTCAATAAGCAAAGGAATCGATCTGAGAACAAATGGCAAAGCACATTCAAGCCAATAATTATTAAAAAAAAAAAAAAACAAAAGAAAAAAAAAAGTATACTGTTCCTTTCCAATAGAAATCTACCTTACCAACAGAGCTTGCTTTGCTACTACCAGCATCTCATCTTCCAACTGTTAAAAAGTTAAAACTCTCTCCTGCTGGATTCTAAACCACAGTTGCTCTGCCCATGTCAAGACTTGACTATTTCACCAATCGGCAGACTTGGTTGTCTTTTAAGTATAAATGGTGCAAATATTACTAGGGGATATTGTGTTCCTTCCCAATTCCAAGTCAGTTTTTTGCAAATAAAGTTCATAGGTGTCATTAACCTCTTCAGGTAACTGTTTATCTTGGAGCAAATGCCGAAACACCCAACGAATTATGACGACCGTTTTATCACAGAAAAGGTTCCATAGTTCTCTTTGCTTCCCAGAATGTCCACAAATCAGGCAAAAAGTCGTCGAATATCTCCACCAACGCCACTTCCAGACACGGCTAAAACAAAAGAAAGGGTCTTCCTTGTGTTTTCTGAAAGCCGTGGAGGGAAGAAGATTTCAAGGAGAAGAACTTGGCGATCCAGATTCTGGGGAAGGTTCGGGATCCGACGCTTCTGCAAGAGCTTCAAGCATGTTCATGACTTCAGATGCATCATCCAAGTAGTATTTGGCTTTACTTGGTTTCTGTCCAACAGTGCAAGCAAAGACAGATGTGCTAGAGGAAAGGATGCCACTTGACAAAGTACTGCCAATAATCTCGAACATGTCCTCATCAGATCTGTCGTCACCAATACACAGTACAAAATCAGCCTGCCTTCCACTCTCAGCCATTGTTGTGAAAATCTTTTCCGCAACCACGCCTTTACTGACTCCCTGAACTCAGAGCAAATCATAGATTCAATAACTAGCATTCCCACAGAGTTCAATGGCAAGTAATATGCTAATAGAAAACAAGCATCCAATACCAATGATGTAATCAACAAAAAATGCGACTAGTAAGCGTTTATATTAGACAAACTGCAAAGATTACTACATACGCAACAATGCTTAATTTTCTTTGCTAATTGATTCAAGAGACCTTCAAAGATCATATTTTGCGTCTATCCTATTGTTTTTATACATAACCCTGAATAGCATAAATGACGAGGTGCAACTGTCAAATTCTCTTCACTTTGGCATAGGGACTGGATCAGGATAGGCCTTTTCCCGTTGTTATCATATTGTGACACTCACACAGGCTGGCGGCAAGTACTGCTGCCTACTTTTCTAACAACTTGCTGCTGAACATTGTCTGACAACTTACTGAGCTTTTTAAATGTCAGCATCAGCATCTTATCTGTTTCTCTTAGCAACACCAATTATCACCACTCTTCACCACTCCCCCCTCCTCTTTTTTCTTTCTTTTATTTCTCAAAGAATAATAACATTTTTCAAGCTTTATGCAATGGATTGGGCCCACTATAACACCGACATTAACAAAAGCTACTCTGGATAACGCCAGTACTCCAGCACTCAAATCCTACTTTGTAGACGAAATCTCCCTTGCGACAAAGAAACAAACAAAGCACAATTTTGTTCACAAAACAATGGGAAGGGCCTTTTAAGACCAAACTACTCCAACCTTCCAACCAGCAGTGTCTTCTATATGCGACAGACAAAGTTACGTCTCAGTGGCTCACCTAATCCCAAAAATTCTGGAAACATGTTTTTATTTATTTACTTATTTATTTTGAACTGGTTCTGAAAATATTTATGTTTACATATAAATGACATAATTCCCTGGTGGATCAGTTTGAAAATATAGCAACTCTTTTATTGTTTCAGAAAGGAGGAAAAGAAGGTGCAGTGGGCAACCCCAAGCCCAGCCCACCCAAAAGGAAATTCACATAAAGTTGAGAGTGCAAACTTGTGAGCAATGAGTGAAAGCTCGGAAGCAGATTGACGCATACCTGTGGCTTTACTTCTACGATAAACTGACCACTTTTTACGGCAACTGGCTCATTTGCCAGAACACTTTCTAGATGGTCCAACATCTCCTTAGCTTGGCAGGACCCAAAACTTGGGTCTGCATCACGATGGTGCCAAACTATCGCACTCTCCTTCCTTTCAATGGAAGAACCATCTGTGGCTTCTGTGTACAGTTTCATAACTGGCTCAGCTATCTGTATCCATCCAAAGTCATTACCCTGCCCGCAAACTTCCCAATCCTCTTCAGCGGACCACCTAAAAAATGATAACTTTTAACCAAGATTGCAAATGAAAAAAATAAAAAAAAATATCATTAGCATACCTCACATAGTAACCATGTTCGGCAGCAATCCCAAGTTTTTTGCAAGGAGAAAACCAATTGGCCAAGCTGTCTCTTCCCCTCCCACTAACCATAAAAACGGAGTTTTTAGCATCAGCGCAAAGCATATTTATGATGGAAAAAACTGCCTGACTCGGGGCCTTATTGATAGATGTTTGAGGCACTAAGGTACCGTCATAATCCAACAGTATAGCCCTGTTTTTAGATCTCGAATATGCAGAGACAATGGCATCAATTGACAACTTTCTAAAGTTGGGATCAAGAGCCACAACCCTGAACCCAAAGCTCAAACCAATTCCCCAGCAACGTCTTCTGAAATGGTCTTTACATGATCGTTCCATATCTTGGAAAAAGCTTTTGGCCCAGTACGCCACATCATGTGTGCTGACATACCTATAATGCTTTTCATGGCGCAATTGCTTCTCAGCACCAGCCATAGAAATTGCCTCGTTCATTGCTTCAGCAGTTGCTTCAATATTCCATGGGTTAACCCGAATTGCACCGCTCAGGGAAGGGGAACATCCAATGAACTCTGACACTACCAGCATGCTCTTCTTCGGGCCACTGACCTCAGGATTAGAATCTGAACTGGAGACTCCTTGCCTACATACAATGTACTCATAGGGGGTAAGATTCATTCCGTCCCTTACCGCTGCGACCACAACACATTCAGCAATTGCGTAATATGCAGCTCTTTCACTGAGAGAGACTGGTCTATCAATGAAAACAATTGGTTCATAACCTGGTCTGCCAAAGTTTTCACTGATTCTCTTGACGCTTGCCTGTATTTCAGCCTGTATTTCCTCGAGGTCTTTCCCTCTACCCCTAGCAGGATTTGCAATTTGAACCAAAACTGCCCTCCCCTGCCACTTCGGATGCTGCTTCAGCATCTGTTCCATTGCCAACAGCTTCAAATTGACACCTTTAAAGATGTCCATATCGTCAACTCCAAGCAAAACAGTCTTACCTTCAAACTGCCGTTTGAGCTCCTCAGTTCTCCACTCATTATCTGCATGTCTCAAAACTGACTCAATCTGCGCCATATGGATCCCAACAGGCATGATCTTAATCCCAACCGTCCTCCCATAATATTCCAACCCAATATAACCCCTCTTTGATTGATACTCCAGACCCAACATCCGACTACAACATGACAAGAAATGACGAGCATAATCAAAAGTGTGGAAACCAATGAGGTCTGAGTTCAAAAGCGCCTTGAGTATCTCTTCCCTCACAGGTAGAGTCCTATATATTTCAGATGAAGGAAATGGGCTGTGAAGAAAAAACCCCATCCTGAGTCTATTGAATCTCCTCCTCAAGAAGGTGGGCAACACCATCAAATGGTAATCATGAATCCAAACATAATCATCTTCTGGATTTATAACCTCAATCACCCTTTGTGAAAAAATCTTATTCGCCGCAACATACGCCTCCCATAAAGATCGGTCAAACCGTCCTCCATGATTTGCCGAGTAAGGAAGCATGTAATGAAAAAGTGGCCACAAATGTTGCTTACAGAACCCATGGTAGAATTTTGACAAAATGTCGGGTGGTAAAAATGCTGGAACACACTTAAACCTATCCAATAAAAGCTGTGAAACATCATCCTGTTCATTTAAATCGACATCGACCCTCAAAGACCCTACATACAAAACCTCCATATCATCAGGCAGACCACTCTTTAGCTGCAATAGCAACGAGTCCTCGTCCCAACTAAAACTCCAACCTTTATTGTCGGGTCGACGCTTAGCTTTTACAGGAAGTTGATTACCAACAATGATTATTCGGTCCTGAATGATCGAGGACGGGACGTCAGACGACACACTATTAGCCTGATCATCATCAAGCTCAGATATAATCCCAGGGACGGTCATTACACGCGGAAGTCGTTTCTTCTCACGAATCATTATGGGGAAATTCCCCGAAGCTAGATCTAAAAGATTGGTATACGATCTGGACATCATTTTTAACCACTTTTTCTAATGGGTATTTGAATTAACCCCAAATCAAAGATCTCAGAGCTAACAATAAACCAAAACCCTAGATTGTTTTCTCTCTTCAAAATGACGAGAAAATTGTCCACGATCCTTAAAGGAGATCACATCAATAGCATCATTGGAAACACTAACCAGTTAATTTCAAAGCAAGAACCTGAAATCAAACATTGAACAACCACTTCTACATGAGATTCAAACACAACAAATTAACCCTCAATGCAATCCAAAAGCCATAAATCATAAACAAACATGATAAAAATTCACACAAAAAAAAGCGATAATAATCCCAAAATTCAAAGCAGATACTACCAATAGATGCGCTTGACAAAAAAAAAAAAAGGGAAAAAAAAAAAACGAAATTCGATACCTGCTAGAGAACAAAATCCGAATCTTTCCTCGGTGCCGTTTCGGATCAGAAGAAATGAGAAATCAAAAGCAACCAAAAAAAAAATAGGAAAGTATCTTGTGTTTTGAGCAGCAAATGAAATCTAGGGTTTGGTTTTGGTTCTCTCCCCTCTCCCAAGAGACACTTCTAATCTCTCTCTCTCTCTCTCTCTCTCTCTCCCTTTCTCTCTCTACAATATGCAAATGCTTCTTCCTTTTGGCGAACAATATGGAAATGGAAAATATAAAATAGTAAAGAAATAGCAACACATACGTTTGGGAAGAATAAAATATGAGCTTAAAAAAATCGAAAAAAAAAAATATATATATATATATATAATAGTAATTCTAAACAAAGAAGAGATAAGGTCGGCCAGTAGACTGCCCAGTAATGCCAACTGGCACTTGAAGAAGGTTCGTCACGCGCTCTTATTCCCAAATCTTGCTTACGTGTCAAATTTTTAAAATGCCACGTTGCCACGTGACAGACGGCTTGAAGAGTCCCTGGGACCCATCCAACTCCACTATAGGGCCCATATCCATCCGGGCCAAAATCAGCCGGTTCTAGTTGCCTGATTTGAGATCTCAATCACCCATCCACGTTGTGCCACGTGGCAGGACAATTTCTTGGCCTCCTTTTAAATCTTTTTTCCTGGGTCGTTCTCTAGAGGTGGCATGAGATAATCTTGGATGAGAATAGAATCTTCTCCTATTTTCACGTTTAGTATAAAAATTGTAATTTTGTTATTTTTTTAAAAATGAATACTATAGAATTCATTTTTTCTTAAAATCAGATAATTTAAATATTACTTAATAAGATGTTGTTCATATTTCCAAAAATCTTAAAAACATATAAAACCTGTACAAAAATCATGAAACCACCCCGATAATCCAAACCCAGCACCCAAGACTCCAACTAATTTACTTGTCATTAGTTTTTTTGCAGGTGTACCTTTTTTGATATTTTTTAATTTTAATAATATTTTTAAAGATTTGATAGATTTAATAGTATTTTTTTGATAATATTTTTTCTCATAGTATCTAGAAAAATCTAATAAGAGTAATCCAATGTTAGTAAAATAGTAATTAGGATATTCAATAAAAAATGGTGAACAAAGAAGGATTATATTACAGTGCACAACAAAACATAATAAAAAATACTTTTAAGAATTAATAAAAATATTCATATACGTAATTAAATATGATAATGTATGTTTTTTTATAAATTATATTACCTTCAATTAGTTTTTGGATAATATAATTCTTAGTGATTATTGTATACTAAAAGCTTTCAGTATCATTTAACTTTAAGGTCATTTTCACTTTTATCTTATAAATTTTAAAAATTTACACTTTATCTTATAGATTCTAAATTAGTCTCATTTAATTTTTACTATTAAAATTTTGGTGAAAAATAAAAAATACTATATTATCTCATTTAATCCTTTTTTATATATTTTTAACTGAAATTTTAATAAAGGAGGTTAAGTGATAGATAAAATGAGTATTTAAAGTTTAAAAGGGTAAAGTGAAAATATCTTAAAATTGAGAGGGTACTAATAAATAATTCCTTTTTTTTGGGTAATTATTTCTATGGTGGTCCTGAAGGGCACCTGAAGGGGGAGAAACTGGCGGGGACAAGGCCATGTCAATGAGCTTCCCAATTGGCCATCTCGCCACGTGGTGCCACATAATAGGGAGCTTGTGGATAAGGAGGAAAAAAGCCATGAAATGCCAGAGGACTACGCCACGCCTGACGTCAGCTTCTGTGCACATGGCGGCACGTGGTTCGTCTTGCAGTTACGTATCAGTGTTCTTGGGTGGGTGGCATCGGGTATGGAAAACATGCCCTGGTTAGGGGGAGAAGTGGTTGGCCTGATAATTCAGATAACGATAATTAGCAAATTTGTGTTTATTATAAATAGATTTGAGTTAGAATTAGATAGATAAAATTAATATGATTAATAAATAAATTGGATTAGAATAGATCTCTTAATTTAAAGTAACACGAATTGATATAATTAATTATATTTATCGCTTATAATATAATGATATGTGATGTAATATGAAAGTTTATATGACATATTAAATATAAATAATGTGAATTTTAATATTTATAGGTAAAATTTATTTATTTTTCTTAAAGAAAAAGATAAATTGATTAATAAATATGTTAAACATATCATGAGTGTGTTAAATAAGTCTTTATTATATTAGTTATTTATTCAATATATTAATTTAAACTGATTATACGGGTTGACACGATTAATACGATTAATAAATGAGTCATGTTTTAGTTAATATTTTTGACACGTTTAATAAAAAAGTCGTATTTAAATTGATATTTTTTAATACGATTAATAAACAGATTAACATGAACACGACCCACTAACACGAATTGTTACCCCTAAAAAGTAGGGTCTGCTAAAGTGCATGCAAAATGTCGTTTTCGTCCTCGCTGGATGCGGATTCATTTGCGGATCACCGTTGGGTTTAATGGGAATAATCCAAGGAGATGAGGGGTATATTGTTTATTGGCTTTACTATGTCATGAGTCAGACACATGAGTTGGCTTTTCTTGACTCCCTTGCTGTCTTTGCACCTAACTTTTCAAGATTGAGAAGAATATAATACGTGTATTTCTTTTCTCCTTTCCTTCTCTGCTAGAAATATATAATATGTCTATGTATTATTCTTATATTACTGATATTAATGTATCAGTATTATTTATATTGCTGATATATTGATTACATCAATATTTGTCATGCATGAATATGTTGATGTTATGTAAATTTCTTCGGCGTGGAATTTATGTTTTTTTTTTCCACATCCATGTTTTCAATTGCTTTTTATTTTTTTATTTTTTTATTTGGTTTGCTTTGAAACACACTTCTATGTTTTTTTATGTCGAGAGACAGGTGTCTACATTGAATCCTGCAATCAATTATCAATATGATGAATTAGAGGAATGCGGCTTCTAGAAAATATTCGAATGAATAACTTGGTGAAAATTTAAGGGCTTGTTTAGTTATATTTTTAAGTTACGAAAATTTGAGTGTAAATTTTAAATTAAATTTGAGTTAAAGTTATAATTTGAATTTGTGTTTAGTTGTGTTTATTTGAGTTATGGTTTGAGATGAGAATCTTTTTGAGTATGTGTTTAGGTGGGTCAAAACTTGTGTTTGTATTTATATAATATTTTAATAAAAACTCAATGATGATAAAAAATTTTAATAGTATATGGGTGGGATTTTATTGTCTCTTCGTTGTAAAAGCATAAAAATAAGAATCATCTCAATTGGAATTAAAATGAAAAAGTTATAGCGTTTTTAAGAATAGAAAAAATATTATTTATTAACTTGAGTTTAAGTTTAGGAACTTGAGTTTAAGGAAACTTGACCTCAGATTTTAATCCCTAACTCAAGTTAAAATTCAAGTTAAAACTCAAGTTCAAACTCAAAATTTACAAAAGAACATAAACTTAAATAAAGTTATAACTTGAGTTCAAACTTTTTTTGAATTTAAGTGCAAACGAACAACCCCTAAGTTTAACGTGACACGAAATTACGAGTGAATAATTAGAACTAACTTAATTACGAGTGAATAATTAAACTTTAAAAGTAAAATTAACTTAATTCACACCAATAAATTTAATTTGCCACAATAATAATCAATAAGAGTAGACGTGCGATAATTTAAGTCGAAATAAATACCCACAATTAATGAGGACATTCGTTGTTATCGACAATAATTTGTCGTTGCTAAAAACTTTTAATTGCAAATCTTAAGTTGTTGATGAATATTTTAGTGACAATTTTTGCCTTTTTGCTGACAACTAAATAGCATTTTCTATTTGGAATGACAATTTTATCCATGAGTATGGGTACCCACCTCTAGTAGGGTGGGTATGAGGGATATGAGCGGATATGGGGGCAAGAATTAACCCCTGATTTAGAGGAGAGGTGGGGGCGGGGGAAGTAAAATATCAAAGTCCCAAATCGTCTAAACATACACATAATCACATCCATATAAGGTCAGAATATTGAGTCACTCCACTTAAACAAGTTAATCTTTTAAGATGAAAGCCGAATATCTTATAAATTGCAATTCTTCTTCTCACTTCTCTTCTTATCTCTCATCAAAAACTCTAACAGGAAGCTCTGTCATCCCCACTTTTGCCCCGATTATATGTACTTTTACATATGTTTGTGTTTGGATTTAGTTTTTAGACTTTGGCTTGTTATTGTTAGAGTTCAGATTTGGCATTATGATTTCAATTTATTTTTACGACATATTAATAGTTATGTTGTTTAATTTTCTAATTAATTTAAAGGATTTTTCTGCAAAGTTTGATAATGTTGCAAGCACTTTTTAAATTCTTAATGGGTAAATGGGTAGAATATAGAGGTAGCTTCCCTGTCCTAATTCTAACTATACCTTAAATTAGATGGGTATAGAGCCAAGTATGAGGGACAAAACGAGAGTCAGGTATGGGGTGGGGGAAGCATACCTGCCCCTACTCCCGCCCCTACTTCACCCCATTGTCATCCCTATTTATATATATATATATATATATTTTTTTTTTATTAGACCAATAATTCTTTTTTCTTTTTGTTTCAGGAAAAATGGAAATTTGTGCCCTAAGAATTTGAATCCCAATTTATATGAATATACACATCTGAGTTCATTTTTTTGAGATAAAAGTTATTATGTAACTTTTAACATGGGAGAGTCCAATTCATTGACCATGGTCATTTGTAAGCACAAAAGGGAACTTTTTTAAATGAAAATAAAAAAACAAAGGGCGCGATTAGAACTCGTTCCAAAATAATTTTGTTTTTTATATGAAAATGAAAATGAAAACGTTTTCAATTTCAGATAGAAATCATTTTTGAAAATGTGTTTAGTAGTTTTATCAAGAGATTATTTTCAGTATAAAAAAATCTATTAATGTCTCTCTCTCTGCTCAAGAGATGAGAAAACGAAAATAAAAAATGAAAAACGACTAAAAATCGTTTTTCATTTCTCTCTCATTTTACACTAAACTAAAAAATCGTTTTCATTTTCATTTTTTACTTTTATTGTGCCGAACGCCGTTTTGAAAACGTTTTCATTTTTTCTTTCTCAAAAAACGTAAAAAGTAAAAATAACATCAATTCTAAACACAACCAAAATATTTTTGCACTTTATTTATGGTGTACACAACAGAACCAGTATAGCTGTCTAGGTTTTATAATAATTGTAATTTACAGAAAGATGACAGATAGATAAACTTAAATGATGTATGACACGGGCCAATTTCTTTATATGATTATGATATAAATAATTCACGAGATTCTTGCGTTTATATATAAATCTAATATCGAGTCTCGAGTTATTACTTCAAGCAATCAAATTAATATCTCCTATCTTTAGCACAATAAAATTAATATATTCTCATTCTATCAAAATAGATTTTAATATATTCTCATTACATGTATATATGCCACATCATTTTATGATGAGATAGGATGCTCGTTCATTACTATAATTTTTCTGCTCAGTCGTTCATTGCTATAAAAACAAAAACAAAAAAACACGCTCGTAAGACCAACAACAATAGTTTTTCATTTTCAATACGTAAGACCGGCATTTTACATTTGGCCCTTACGAGAAAAAAGGCAATTTATGTATGCATGCATAGCGGATTTTCCAATGTCTAAGAAAAGAATAAAGATTGAAAAGAAAAAAAAATCTGAACGCCCAATGATTATGAAAACGACGTGCCTAGAGGAAGTCAAACAACGAATCAAAGGAAAAAAAAGAAATATAAAATTTTAAGGCTAATATTAGACATTAGTCACTGTGAATTACTAAAACAACTTCATTAGAGAAGGTAATTACGTGATCATGTCTTTGAAAAATGAAAGTGTCACGCTTGATTTTGCCACGAAAACAGTGGGGAACTGGAAGGAGACTTATCAATGGATACCAATATTCGGAGCTTTCGCAGCGATTACGACGTCGTTTTTGGCCGGGGGAAACAATCTTCCAGCCCCAGTGCGTGACTTCTATCAACCTACCTGCTTGAAAAATGAAATGATCATTCATAAGTTATCAATATTGCTTTAATTTCAAGTATAATTTGTTACTATTTTGTCCAGTTTGCGACGCCGGTAGGATCAGGGGCTTTGACCCTTTTGAAGGCGTTCATAATGGCGTGCGTAATCTATGTTCCTGGTGCGGCTTTTGCGAGCTACGGCTACGTCAACGACATATATTATAATGTATGAAGATAATAGAATCAGTACAGTCCCTATATATGTATAGCCCAAATATGTGTATACGCATGGTTAAGTTAAGCACAATCAATTAATTGGTTTGCAAAGATGTGAGGTTAATTAATTTATTATTATAATTGCTAGTTAATGAAGGTTTATGAATTGTTCAAATTATCAGTTTCTTGAAGAACGTCAGCCAGATGCAGGTTTCTTGATGTGGAGTTTTGTAATTGTTCTCGTAACTGCAGGTATAACACTATTCCTAATTATTTATTTCTAATACCCTTTGTTTGGCAAGCGAGAAAAGTGGAAGGAAGGATTGGAGTGCCAATATTAGAAAAATGGATTTTAGGGCTTATAGTTGTTTGGTAGAAAGGATTAGAGCACTGAATAAATTGAGTAACATATTTAAAATCGCGCCTCACAACTCACAAGTTTTTCGATTTTGATCATTTTAAAGTTGTAAGAATTAGAGTAGAGAATCCGCGTCAACACACAATAAGAGAAAGATCTTTCTTTTTCTCTCTATTTTTCATACCTTTGTCCCGACACTCTGATCTCTTACTGAACATAGCCTAAATGCATAGAAATATATTAGTGTGAATTTCTCCTTTATGTCGTTTGATTTTTATGCAAAAGAACAAACTATATATGTGATGAAAAGTTGTCATACCTATAATATATGTTGACAGCAATCTGGCTTGCTCTGGCAACGTACTTGGAGTTACCAGTTTCATCTCAACAATCAATCCAAGGTGCTTTTTTAGGGACCATACTTGTCACTGAAGGTTTCAGCTACATACCCATCTGGAATAAGGTAATAAGAAGGAAAGGGAAAGAAGAAAAGAACCAATTCATTGACAAGATACAATGTGCTAAAGATTGTACCAAATTAACAGAAAAAAGGAAAAAAGTTCAAATGCTTATTGATTGACCTCTGACATGCACTGCAGAATGAAAACCACAATTTTAAGGGTGGAGGACTTGTTTGGATAGCGCTTGAATGGACCGTGGCTCCATTAGTTGCCTGCTTCTGCGCCTTCCTCCTATTCATCATCCTGAAGACTTCGGTGCTTCGCCATGAAAACGCCGAGAAAAGGATCCTAGTCTTTCTCCCAATTGACTATGGAGCATCTGCCGGGCTGCTTTGCTTCTTTCTCTTGTATCAGGTTATATGTTACCACTACTTAGTAGTGTCATGATCTTCTTTTAACTTCATCATGCAATAGATACATATATGATCATATAAACAAGTTTTTTAGACCATACAGAAAAAAAAAAAAAAAAATCAGAAACTTTCGAGTTATTTGCAATGATACAGGAACCAGGGAATTGCTTGGCAAAACTACTAGAATGTAACATTCATTAAGATGAAATATATATAAATAAAATAGTTTATAATGATGTTACAATATTGATAATTCAATTGTAGGTCATACCAAACATAAACTTATATAGTTGGGCGGCTGCGGTGGCAGTCATAGGGGCTACCGTCATTGGAGCAGTACTATCTTTGGTAAGAATAAGATAAGATTTTAGATACAGACACCAAAGTTGTTTAAATCTTTTCATATTCTAGTTATAATCTTGTTTAAGTATCTAGATTTGGCTCTAAAAATTAGGTCATTATAGTTCCTTTGGCGACCAAAAAGTACAATACAACCAAGAACTACAGGAGGAAAAGGGCTAACATGTCTCAAAACAATCCATCTGCGGAGGGTGACCCTCAAGAACAAGCCTGCAATATTAAAGTGGAGAATGCTAATGAAGACCTTGAAAATGCATTGAAAGATTTCATGCAAATGAGAGTCCTCGAAACCGTCTACGAGGAGGACGAGAAGAGCTGGCCTTCGCCGGACGCAGCACAACATGATTCCAGTCCTACTCATGATCCGTCACTTATTGGTAAGTCTTCTACTGAGCAAACGGCTCCATTCAAACAGCTGCTTCAGTCTACGCCAAATCGCTTGGTTCAAGCAAGAAACTTTCAGAAGCTTAGCAAAAGCTCCACCACTGAGAATGTGTCCGAGTTCATTAGAGATTTTGCAAAATCTACCTGTTACCCTGTGAGTATATGCCACACTCGTTATATTTCTAGCATCTTCTTAATTATCAATTCCAATACTAGGAAAAAGAGTTAAAGAAGAAAGGGGTTGTTTTTAGTGTCAGAATCAGAATATTTTTTAGTGAGAGCACTATAAATGAAGAAAATAAGAGAGGAGTTTTTATTATATAAGGACATATAATTATAAAATTCAATACTATCAAGTGAAGGCAAACATAGAAATTTTCTCATAATACAGGGGGCATTTTTAATTGAAATTTTTTTTAGAGAAATTAGAGGTAAAAATTGAAATTTTAGAAGTCAAGTGGAGGCATGTATTCCTACTGATCAACTATAAGGCACCGATGCTGCTTGTTTTATATGACAATGATCTAAAACTTATTTATTGACAAAAAAGGGGATGCACAACTACCTCAAGTATTATTTCTTCATTATTTAAGTTCTAAGAATACTTGTTATTTAATTTTAAATAATTGTTAATTATATCATCATTTGACATCAGAAATTTGATAAACGTAGCATTATTCAACAAACAAATGTTAGTAATAACTCATACATGTCTAGTGTCTGCTAACTTATATATGCTCTTTAAATGACTAGGCAATTGAATACGACAGACACACCCTAATCCGCCACGCTCTGGCTGAGAAATACGACGAAGTAGAAGACTTCTTCAGCTTCCCTCAGTTGCTAGCTTCATGCATGTTTGCGTATGTTTCATCCCCCCTAATAAGAACCAAATTAAAAATAACCTCAATAATATTCTCTCTCACAACTTGTGACTTCATAATCAACTTCTCAAACATATATATATACACACCAAAATAATGGATACATGCATGCAGGCTCATTCAATCTGCTAGCGAAATAGCACCACTGCTGAGTTCATATGCAAATATCCAATACATATTCTTCCACAGAGAAAGATATTCTAGAAGTGGAGAAGATGGGGTGAGTTGATTTTTTTTTTTTTTTGATGAAAAAATTTCTTTTAATGGGGTTTTTTTAATTTTTATTATACTGACTATCCTTAAAAAATATATATACACATTATATGTAACAATATAATTTGTAGCAGTACTCAGCGAATGCGGCAGCTTGTTGGTTTAGGGCGATAGGGGGATTTAGTGCTGCGGTGGGATTCTTTCTCTGTGGATTTAGGTTGACTAAATGCCTGGGAGGAAAGTTGACTTATGTCAGCAACTCAAGAGGGTTGGCTTCACAACTGTCTACAGTAATAGCAATTATTGTCGTCAGTAGGTTTAAGCTTCCCGTTTCAAGTGTTCATGTCTTTGTTGGGTCTTTAGTTGGACTTGGAATTGCAGATGACCCTAAGGTAAGTAAAAAAAAAAAAAAAAAAAGTTACTATTACGAGAGTTTTAAACTTTTTTGAACTTTGCGGTTCTGACAACTTGTGTCCTAAATTTTTAATTTTGACTAATTATTCTCTTAACTTGCTAAATCATTATAATGTGACGCATTTTACTTATAATGATTGTTAAGTTAACAAATGAATGCCTCATTTAGGACCAAAAGTTCCTAACTCTTATGTCCCGTTCAGTTTTTTATATTTGATCTCATGATTTCAATTTTACTATAGTGGGTTTCATCTCATAAAGAATTTAAATTTAAAAATTTCTTCTCTCACAAAATGCATGTTAATGAATCAGAATCATTGACTTGAACATGTAAACCAAACAGACCCTTAATTTAAACCTTAACTGAAATCAATCAAATCTCTAAAAATTTAGGGTTCATTTGATTTATGAGTTCAAATCAGTAATTTTTAATTTTTGCATTTAAAATTCAAATATTTTGTGATAATAAAACACTGTAGTAAAATCAAAATCATGAGTTTAAACGCATGAAACGAACGAGCTCTTAAATTTCGGCGTGATAATAAAACACTGTAGTAAAATCAAAATCATGAGTTTAAACGCATGAAACAAACGAGCTCTTAAGTTTCGGCGCGGCAAGTTGTCAAAATCAGAAATGTTCGGATAAGAAAAGTATTACAAATCTTTGTGTGTGTGCATTAAATAATATGGCTTAATTCAGCGTCTTATTTTATGCAGAATGTGAATTGGAAGCTGCTATTGAAGTTCGTATGTGGGTGGGTGATGACTCTGGTATTCTGTTGTGGGGTTGCTTATGTGATGTTCTCTGCCTCCATTCACTCCCCAGCTTATGTAGTGCCCTGATCCTTCTCTCTCTCACACATTGAGACCTTTTCTTTAAAACTTTTTTGTATCTCAAATATAATTATTGTAGAGCAATCATTCTTTCCTTAGATATTTCTAGCAATATGAAAAAAAAAAAAAGTAAAAAGTTAAAAGTTAAAAGGTTTTGGCATTACGAAAAGGAAAACAACGGAAGTGGCCCATGCAGGTCTCGAACCTGCGACCTTCGCGTTATTAGCACCACGCTCTAACCAACTGAGCTAATAGGCCAGTGACGATTTACTCTAAATATTTTATTTACTTTATCAAGTGCTTTTCCCCCGCAAATTTCGACCGTTGGAGGCCCAAAGCATGGTCAGTCAACACCCAGCTAGATATGTTAAAATGATTGTTATTTATTTAATTATTTATTTTCTTTAAGCACTTTGTCAAGTATAATGGAACAGTTAAAGAACTCGCTCCAAGCCCACAAGAAAAGTTGGAGGTGAAACTGATTCCTGGTAGGGTGTCAGAAATTTATTCATCATTTTCTTTTAAATACTTGATGCCCCACAGAAAAGAAAAGGGTTGCAATAATAAAGATTGGGGGATAGTTATATCCAAGAACTTGCTTGGAAATGACGCAAATGAAGTAGTGACATCATTCTTCATGTGGTCGTTAGGATGAGAAGTACTAAAAGTGTTAAAATTATGATCCAATTAGTAGCATAGCGGTTATCCAATAATTAGTAGCATTCCTTGTTAAAATAATGCTTCTTTGGTGAATAAAAGTGTGGGAAGGGATGACAAGTATAGCTACCAATTTAGGATATATGCTATTACAAGGGTCTCCATGCATTAAGAAATGTCTATATTGAGCAACATATAATTACTTATATCAGAAAATGAAGCACGTCACCTTAGTAACTAGTCCCACAAAGGACTAATGAATATAGAAACAATAGTTTAAAACTTATAGGCTTGGTTTGGTTCAACAATTCAAACTGTGGAGGTTTGAATCATTTTTGTTTAAATTGTAGAATCTGAATTATGATGATTTGAATTGTGATTCGAACTGTTATTTGGATGTGCAAATAAATTGTAATTTGAATTGGCAATAAAATCCGAATTATGTTTGAATAAAGTGTTGAAAACTATCATTAGAGTTTTGTAACAAATCTTATAAGATCTCATTGTAAATGACATTCAAAAATATGCAATAGGGATGGAGATTTGTTCATCTCTTCATTATGTACAGATTAAAAAAATCAACCCAATTAGAATTAAAACGAAAAAGTTATAACATTTTTAAAATTTAAGTTAATGAGAGAGAAAAAAAAAGTGTTTGTTTTAATGTAGCAAAACCATTCAGATGGTTTGAATTCAAGAGGGTTATGAATTCTGATTTTAATGGTTTAAGAATGGTTTGAGTTGGCCATAATAGTTTGAATGACTCCTTATTTTTGTTGATCCAAACGTCCATTTAAATTGTTAAGAATGAATAGAATTGGACCCAAAGGTCCCAATAACTGATCAAACAAACAACCCAATAATCTCAATAGCTTTCTTTTTAGGTCTCAAACTTGATACCTCTCATCTACTAAACCACTTGGACGTAATTCTTGCACTACAAACTTAGCTACCACCTTGGTGGTCTTTTTAATTATTATTTTTTTTAAAAGGGAAAAATACATTGCAACTCAGAAAAGTATAAACACTATAATATTGATGCAAATAGCTCCAATATACACAAGAAAAACTCGACCTTAAATACTAACCGGTACTACGTACCGGTAATTGTTCATGTCATGTTTGGTATGAGGATTCGTGCCATGGTTCGAACTATGATTTGTGGCTCGCTACAGTGTTTTCTCTTATAAAAAATATACGTAAACTGAAAATGGTTTTGAATCCGTGAACCACGTACACTTATTGTTTTGATACTTATCTCATCATTGTTGCACAAATTTTTTTTTGCTGGAACATTATTGCACAATAATAACTCATAAATATATAAATATGTTATATGTCAGATTAAATAATTGTCCTACCAAGAAAAAGAAAGTAAGAATATGTCAGCTTATTGTACCTAGCAAAAAATAGATAAATACATATATATTTCAAAATGTCAGCTGATTGTTAAAAAGAAAAAGAAATAAGTTATTTGTACTTTTTTTTTACTGGATTACCTCGTTCATCTGGGTTTGTAAAACTCTATGTACCAATTGGGTTCTAAATCTCTCCTAATGATTTTGAAACATCATGACCTTAGGGTTACAATAATTTCCCCCTTATCGAACTTCTATAATGATTGGGCTCATAATCAAGAAAAGATATGGTGATGAGGATCGATCTCATGTATAATTCATCAAATTTCTTGTATTACGTGATATATATGCCAATATAGAGAATTATCATTTTTTTTTTTGACTGGCGAACTTATTTATATATAGCAAGTTGTATTTTTGTCAATTGAAAATAACAGTTTTATTTACTATATTGGTCGTACAAAAATTTGATAGATTACTTGAACCCCATTTTCATTCACTTTATATATGCAAACCAGAAAAAAAGTGGAAAATGATTCTTTTAAGTTTGCATGATCTTATCAAGGACAAAATCTACTTTGACAAAAATAAAATGACATAATGGCCCATTTACTCCTGATTTGTTTTCTGTGTTTTGTGCAACCACTAGTTCTAAAACTAAAATTTTGGAATCAATGATTGAAACCGTGTCTGGTGATAATATAAGCTTAGTCATTTTCTGAAAATTAAGATAACATAATCATGTTTAGTTTGCTAATACAACTATAAAAAATAAATTAGTAAGTGGGATGTTGTAGTTTTAGATAAAATGTCAAAACAATTTTTATGCTAATAATTATTTATAGTATCTCATAAAGGACTGATTCATAAGTTATAATTTTAGAATAGGCCAACTACCAAACGCGTTTTTCCTTCTCTCATGGTTTTAATGTTTCTAAATAAGTCATGAAAATGTTGAGAAAGTTGCGGTAGAACTTATCGGTAAATTCACATCCTTATCTTTGACGTAAGGTGTAGAGTTTAAATTTCTCTCTTCCAACTCAAAATACTAATAATAATAATAACAATAATAACAAACATGTATCCTGCCGCGAAAAGTTCCTAAAAAGAATAGCTCAACGAAAAGGGCCAATATTTACATGCAATTGCAGCAAGAATTAGCGGAGACATTCCCAACTCCCAACTTCTGGTGTATTGTCACTTTGCGCTGTCACTTTTTGAACATTATATATGGTATGTAATATTGATAATATGAAATGGAGGTGGGAATTAACCCTGCCGAACTTGGAAAACTAAAGAGTCATATACTATCAAAATTGAATGTCATTTTTGCTTTTAAATACAGTCTATATATCTATATATATATCTATATATCCAGAGCATATCTATTGCCCATTTGCCAACAAATAATTTGAGAACTACCTAACCCTGCACGTTGCAAACGCGATTCCCTCTAAGCTTTTCAGAGCTTAATCATTTCTTCTTTTGCTTTGCTAGTCAACCGTTTATATGTGGGAGAGAGAAAAAAGCGCATCTGATGTGTAGTTGTGACCGTCATCTTTCCCTTCACTTCAAGATACATATTGATTCAATCAAGGTGAGCCCTAGCTATCTAGCACAGTTTCTTCCCCCAATTTATTGACATTTTCTCATTCTCTCTCTCTCTCTCTCTCTATTCATACACATAAATATTGATAAAGCTATACACCTAATTATTTTCATAATTTAGTTACTGATGATTAAAAAAAAAGTATACATATAGATGGTGCCTTGTACACATTCGTAGAGTCTTTAGTTTGACAGTCAAATGGTACCGAAAGTGTGATATTTTTTATATGGAGTTATAATTTTTTAGTATAATGTTACAGTACTAATAAAACAGCTTTAATGTAACATCATGATGGTAGACTACATTAAAATGTTACATATATTGAACTTGTATGATTGTCAAACTTAAAACATTTCCTATATATAAAAGTATACACACACATCCACAAAAGTATTTTCTAGGTAGAAACGTTGGGCTTTCTTTTCTGAGAAATTCCGAAAAGTTGTCTCACATATGTACTACATGGCCTTGTATGAGGGTACGAGGATTAACATTAATTTCTTTACCTTTCATCACCACATATATGATTTTGCTTATGTTTCACTCTAACTCTCCGGCAACTTTTGTTCCTAAATCTTTTTCATGATAGTCTTGTCCCTAAAATTACAAAAATTTGTACCTACAACTGAGGCCAACTTGTGCAGTATAGTTCGAAAAAGAATAACGCGTGAAAAAAAAAAAAAATCGGATAATTTTAGTCTTCATGATGAGGTAAGGGTAATAGATAACATCATGTGTATTAGTGACAAAGTTTGAACTGATTAAGAAAATATATTTTATACCATTTCATTTACCTTAAAAGGTAAAATCATGATAAAAATACCAACAGTTTAACAATCCTAAGTCATAATAAAAATCCAATGAAGCCCTGTTCTCCCCCGACCCCACTTACTTTAATTTATAAAGTGAAAAAAAAATTAAATTAAAGGCAAAAAAACTTTATTTTTTTTTTCAGTCCGAAAAATTTCTCTGATCTGCTCGTTTTCAAGCTTTTGAAAGGAACCCTGCAAAAGAAACTCAAAATACAGCCTGCAAAATGCGGGGCGTGGGTCAAGGGCTCATGTAATTCTCCATTCTTCACTCCACTACTGTTGTGTTTATATCATATCATCTTTGCTATAACCTTAAACATCCCCCAAATATCATTTCTCTCCAAACTCTAGATACATATAAATTTCTCTAACGTCAAAACCCTAATTTGGTCTATTCTAGTAATGGCCAGTTTCAGTGCTCAAAGGCCGTTTTTCTTCTTCACTATCATGGTCATGACGCTTCTCTCACTAATGGCAATCCTAAGTACTTCCAGCACCACTGCAGTGAGAAGCTACACTCTGGAGCAGCCCTCGCCTGTCGGAGGGGACTATGACGACACTTATGATCTTCGA